AGAAATCACAAAAATTTACAACTTCGTAAATTCATTAATCCTTTAATAAGGTTCAATACATTATTTACATAAAAGTAAATATATTTGGGGACGGTGTTACAAGTTCACCCCCCCTTATTTGGGATTTCGTCCCCGAAATCCAAGTATCTAATCGAAAAGAAATGGGTATTGCTCCCTCATTGAGACCTCGGTCTCCCAAGTTTCTTCTTCGACTCGATCACTCCTCCAAAGGACCTTTACCATAGGAATCTCCTTATTCCTAAGCTTCTTCACTTGTTGACCAACAATCTCCACTGGTTCCACCGCATATTGCAAGTCCTCACGGATCTCTACCGGTGGTTTCTCAAGAATATGAGATGGGTCTCGTATGTACTTCTTGAGCATTGATACATGAAACACGTCATGTATCTTCTCAAGTTCAGGCGTCAACTTGAGTCGGTAAGCCACGGCCCCGATCCTTTCAAGGATCTCAAACGGACCTATGTATCGGGGGTTAAGCTTTCCCCTCGATACAAATCGAATGATGCCCTTCCAAGGAGAAATCCTTAGGAAGACCTCATCACCGACTTCGAACTCCAACGGTCTCCGCCGTTTATCAGCATAACTCTTCTGCCGGTCCTGAGCAGCCTTCAATCTATCCCGAATGATCCTTACCTTGGCCTTGGTGATCTCAACCAGCTCTATCCCTTCGAGTTTGGCCTCGCCAACCTCGTCCCAACACAACGGTGTTCTGCACTTCCTCCCATATAATGCCTCATATGGGGGCATGCCGATACTTGCCTGATAACTGTTATTATAGGCAAACTCCACTAGGGCCAAATGCTTGTCCCAACTTCCTTGGAACTCCAAAGCACATGCCCTAAGCATGTCTTCCAAAATCTGTATCACCCGCTCGGACTGTCCATCGGTCTGTGGGTGAAAAGCTGTGCTAAATTTCAGTTTAGTCCCCAAAGATGCTTGAAACTTTGGCCAAAATCGGGATGTGAATCGTGGATCCCTATCCGAGACAATGGATATTGGGACTCCATGTAATCTCACAATCTCCTCCGTGTAAAGCTTGGCCAATCTTTCAAGAGGATAAGTAATGTTGATAGGCAGAAAGTGTGCACTCTTGGTGAGCCTATCAACCACTACCCATACGGCATCGTAGTTGTTCACTGTTCGTGGCAGCCCCACCACGAAGTCCATGGTCACATGTTCCCACTTCCACTCTGGGATAGTGAGCGGTTGTAAGAGCCCTGCTGGGTGCTGATGCTCTGCCTTAACTTGCTGGCAAGTAAGGCATCGACTCACAAACTCTGCGATATCTCTCTTCATACCTGACCACCAGTAACTTTCCTTCAGATCTCGGTACATCTTAGTACCTCCTGGATGCATGGCATATGCTGAAGAATGAGCCTCCTCAAGTATAGACTTCTGGAGCTCCTCGTTCTTTGGTATGCACACACGATCCTTAAATAATAAAAGACCGTCATCACGTACCCGAAAATTCTCAACGGGTCCTTCCAAGATCCTTTCACGGATCTTCTGACATTCCTCATCCATGGCCTGACATCCGACTAATCTCGCCCAATAGGGTGGGCCTAACCTCGAATCGAGCAATGAGAGCCCCACACGTGGACACCTCCACGCGTGCCCTCAATGCCTGTAGACATGTGAGTAGCGTCCCTGTCGTATTCTTCCTGCTCAGTGCGTCGGCCACGACATTGGCCTTTCCGGGATGATAGTCGATGATCAAGTCATAGTCCTTGATCAACTCCATCCATCTCCTCTGCCTCATATTCAACTCTTTCTGAGTGAATACGTACTTCAAGCTCTTATGGTCTGTAAAAATGTGACATGTCTCCCCGTAGAGATAATGCCTCCAGATTTTCAGTGCAAACACTACCGCCCCCAATTCTAGGTCATGGGTAGGGTAGTTCACCTCGTGCTTTCTCAATTGCCTTGAAGCATATGCAATCACTTTACCGTTTTGCATCAGTACACATCCAAGCCCTTGGATGCTAGCATCGCTGTATATATCATACCCTATCCCTTGTATGGGTAGGGCAAGGACTGGTGCTTCGGTAAGTCGTTTCTTCAGTTCAAGGAATCCTTTCTCACACTTGTCGTCCCATATGAACTTGGCCCCTTTCTTTGTGAGCTTCGTTAATGGAGACGCCAATACAGAAAATTTTTCAACAAATTTACGATAGTATCCCGCTAGGCCAAGGAAACTACGTATCTCTTTCACATTCTTGGGTCTCTCCCAATCCATGATAGCCTTTATCTTGGCGTTATCCACAGCAACGCCCGAACCGGATATGACGTGACCGAGAAAACCAATCTCCTTGAGCCAAAATTCGCATTTAGAGAACTTGGCAAAGAGTTGTTTTTCCCTTAGTCGATCAAGTATAAGCCCCAAGTGATGTTCGTGCTCCTCCTCACTCTTGGAGTATATTAAGATATCATCAATGAATACTATCACAAATTGATCTAAGTATTCACTAAACACCCGGTTCATCAAGTCCATGAATGCCGCCGGTGCGTTGGTCAAACCAAATGACATCACAAGGAACTCGTAATGACCATACCTAGTGCGAAATGCACTCTTAGGTATGTCGCTCTCCTTGATCTTCAACTGATGATACCCCGACCTCAAGTCAATCTTCGAGAATACTATAGCCCCTCGAAGTTGATCAAACAAGTCATCAATCCTAGGTAAAGGATATCTGTTCTTGATTGTGACCTTGTTCAACTGTCGGTAGTCGATACACATTCTTAGTGTACCATCTTTCTTCTTTACGAAGAGTACGGGGGCTCCCCACGGTGAATGACTGGGTCTGATGAACCCGTTGTCCAGTAATTCTTGTAGTTGGGCCTTCAACTCTTGGAGTTCGGCCGGCGCCATTCGATAAGGAGGAATCGAAATGGGTTTGGTTCCCGGCTCCACTTCAATTACAAACTCTATCTCTCTATCGGGTGGAAGCCCCGGTAGGTCTTTGGGAAAGACATCCGGGTATTTGCACACGACCCGTACATCTTTGATGTCGACTTCCTTCTTGGTATCGTCCACCACGTAGGCGAGGTATGCTTGGCATCCCTTCCTCATCATCTTCCGTGCTCTCATCACGGATATCATACAAGCATTAGATTTCCCCCGATCTCCCTCGAAACATAGTGTGTTTCCTTGATCATCCTCGAGCTCTAACACCTTGGTGTAGCAATCTACTCGAGCATGGTGTTTCTCGAGCCAATCCATTCCTAGGATTGCATCGAACTCCAACATGCTTAGAGGTACGAAATCACAAGTCAAAGGTTGACCCGTCACTTCTACCTCGCACGACGGATAGTAATGATTTCTCTCCACGTCGTCTCCTAACGGTGTGGAAACTAGCAATGTTTGCGTCATAGGTGTCAATGGCACGTCAAGGCCCTCGGCGAACGCTTCACTCACAAATGAGCGTTGTGCCCCCGGTATCGATGAGGATCCTCGCACACCTACCATTGATCTGTAATGTTCCTACATTTATACACCATGTAAGATACCTTTTATAATGTTTTTACACATCTTTAGGAGGTTATTAGGTTCATACTAATGTTTGGAATCAAACGGGGATCCAAACGTAGGAGAACGGGGCGAAAAAATCAAGTTTCGGGTGCCTGGGGTCCACGCACGGCGTGCCTGGGTGGCACGCACGGTCGTGCGTGCGTGAGAAATTCGGAATCCGCCACTGCCGGCTACGCACGATCGTGCGTAGCTGGTCACGCACGATCGTGCGTCCCACGCACGGCGTGCCTTCCCTGCACGCACGGCGTGCGTCTGCGCGGAAAATGGCCAGAGGCTGCTGCCTCGTACGCACGGTCGTGCGTCTGTAGGTACGCACGATCGCGCGTAGTTGTTTTTAGCCCGTTTCGCCCCGAATTCGCGGGGTTTGACCCCGGGGTGGCCCGCACCCAAACCCAATGACTCGTACGACCCAAATAAGCCTAGAAATACAGGAAAGTAAGTGTATTACCTGCAACGGAGTCCGGGTTTGCTCGCGCATCCGCCTCGGTCATTGCGTACACTCGTGTTTGGGTCCCACATTGGTTGCCGAACATAGCGTTGCTCGTCGTTGGTCCCGTATGGTTTCCTTCCACGGTGAGCCCTTCATCGGCTTGCGATGTTTCTCGTTGTCTCCTCCATGGGCAGCTTAATTTCATATGGGTTGTGCTCCCACATTCGTAGCACATCGGGGGCTCGATGCACTTTCCGAAATGCTTCTTAGAGCAATTCGAACATTTGGATGATCTTAAAGAGTAAGGAAAGGACGCATGCCACTTTGAGGTCCTTTTCTTTTTCACCGGTGATGCCGGTGCCGTAAGAGTGCTTTCTCCTCCTTGGTCGTTTGCCCAAGGATGGGTTTGGCTGACAGTCATATCACGTTGGGAGGTGGCCCGATCTCGCCTCGCCTGACGCCTACGTTCGTTCCTCCTGGTGTTCATGTTACACATCGAGCCCACTTGCTTAGCGCTTGCCGCTTGGCGGCCCTCACGGACCCCATGGCCTATTCCTCTCCCCGTAATGGCTCGTGACACAGCCCGGCTAGCCTCAAGGTAAGCTACCGACGCTTGTCCCTTAGGGTCAATTCTTGTTGCCATTCGCCTACCCTCCATTTCTGAAACGGAATTTGGACGAGTCTTTAGACTCCTATAAATGTCAATTGACGGAAAAACGTTATAGACACGTATTGACCCAAGTCACCACCATACCAATTGTTAAGGGTACCGTCTTAACAATTAGAGGCCTTGCAACTTAAGCACCAATAGTCCTATAAACGTCAAAATACAATGCTCATGGTTTTCGGTAAAAACTCTTTTGTAAAATCCTTTGTGAGAGGTTGATTATATAGTTTAGAACTGAGATGGCTCTGATACCACTTAATTGTCACGCCCCAGACCGCAATCCAAGCGCGTGTACAACCGCCGTATAACTAAGTGATGTCACCCACGAGTCAACCTTACTTAGTTACACAAGGCGTTCGAGAAAACAATCCATCCATACTCAGTAGTAAACATACATAACAACATCACATTTAAACCAATGAATAGCGGAAATATTCAACGGTAAGTCATGAGCCACAACCGGCCAACAACATGGGCATGCAAGCCCCAAAAATAGTTTATAGTAAAACAAATATCCACGAGCAAGTGTTTGGTAGTTTTGAAAGAAAATAAGGAAGCACGAACCACGTCTTCCCGATATGATATCACCCGTGAGAAGGTGCAAGTAGCAAGCCCTAGCTTCAACCTGAAAATGGTGGGGCCCCCCGAAGGGGTCAGTACAAGTACCGAGCGAGTAGCAGGCTAAATATAGGATAACTAGCGTTTCAAGTATAAGACCCAAACATAGGGTGATACTTAAATAAATAGTCTTTCCCCCAAGTTATGAAATACTTATTAGTATATACATATATACTTGGAAAATATCCGATCCGTAGATCACCATTTTATTTGGAAAAGAAATAGTAATAGTCAATATTCTTGACTAAAAACCCCAACCCACCCATATACCTATGAGTGTATAGGACTCCTCCTTGTCCCTATTTGTATATCATAATCTATGAGTTTTAGGATCATAATCCTTGGATACTCCACCGGTTTGTGAGTGTTAAGGCCTCATAAGTCCTAGGGTCCTCCACCAAGTTTTGAGTGTTAAGTACTTTTAAGTACTAGGGTCCTCCACCAAGTTTGAGTGTTAAGTACTTTTTAAGTACTAGGGTCCTCCACCAAGTTTTGAGTGTTAAGTACTTTTTAAGTACTAGGGTCCTCCACCAAGTTTGAGTGTTAAGTACTTTTTAAGTACTAGGGTCCTCCACCAAGTTTTGAGTGTTAAGTACTTTTTAAGTACTAGGGTCCTCCACCAAGTTTGAGTGTTAAGTACTTTTTAAGTACTAGGGTCCTCCACCAAGTTTGAGTGTTAAGTACTTTTTAAGTACTAGGGTCCTCCACCAAGTTTGAGTGTTAAGTACTTTTTAAGTACTAGGGTCCTCCACCAAGTTTGAGTGTTAAGTACTTTTTAAGTACTAGGGTCCTCCACCAAGTTTTCCTATTATCAACCTCCTATCAACCTAGATAGAGTCTATATCATACTTAGTTACTCATAACTAATCCAATGCATAAATTCTTATGTATCACAATCCATGCAAAACCATGCATTTATATAGATTTATATTTAATTAATACCAACCGGTATTAATTAAATCCTTTGTTCTTCGGTCCACGTTTTCGTTGACCGCCATTTCATGCCTTGTGTGTATCAACTTAATCATCATATAATTAAGTTAATAATATTCATTTGTGCTTCTAATACACTTCAAGCAAATATGCATTTCATATAATTCTTCATATCATATTCCATGCATCAACAATTAATTTCTTTCATACAAACTTAACCCTATTGGCTAATCACATGTTTAAATATCTTTTAAACATTATTATGAACTCATATAACATTTATTTAGGTAATCTCATAATTAACCCAAAAGTTATAAGATATTAAGCCGTCCACTCACCTTGAACTAGCGTTATGAAGTTCTACCCTTCTTGGTTGAACTCCGGTGAAACTCCGGCGACTTTTGGTCAACTCCGGCGACAACTCCGGCGACTTTTCCAACTTTGTGAAACCACTTGAAATACCCTTTACAAGTGCCTAACAAGGTTTTATAATCATAAAACCCATATTAATACAAATAACCTCAAAAAGGTTATTTCCCGGTAAACCGGTCGTTTTGGCTTCTAAGTCCGTTTTTGGACGTAGAACCATTTTCCAACCCATAAATCCATACTTATAACATGTGAAACCATACTAAGGATCCCTCATATGATATATATCTCATATTGTAAAAGAAAAATAGAGGAAAAGGTATAATAAGGTCATTACCTTAATTATTCACACTTTTCCCAACTTTTTCTCTCTTTAATCTTCCTCCTTGGACCACTTTAGGTTGAGCTCGAATATTGGCTATGGAAGATGAAGTTTCAGAGCTTTTTCTCCTCCTACCCTTGGTGCTGGCCGAACTCAAATGATGAGGGAAGAGAGGGGGTGTTCACTTTTGCCTTGATTGGCAAATATGTGATGGGAGGGGGGTCACCCATGTACCTTAGATGCCAATACCATCTTTTCAGCCTCTTCCCTTGTCTATCCAGCCCTCTTTGATTAATTGGAGCACACAAAAACGTGGGGTGGCCCCCACTCATGTGGGAGGTCATCCCTTTGTGTCCCAGTGTGTACAATCGGTCCTGAAAGTTGTATTTTTCGGACTGTTTTAAATATATTTTATTTTATCGGGTCAAATAAAATATATTATGTGCTCTTACTCATTATGACATGTATAATGAATATACATTCCCCAACTTTAATTTATAAGCCCCCGAAATTCAGTTCGGGCTGTTATCAGTTAAATTACCAGTACCGATAATTTGGGCTCCTTTTGACCAACCGGTCCACTCTGGGCTTTTCCATAGCCCAAATGAAATATCCACCACTATATATTTATTATCTAGACCAAGATGAATAAAATATATGGTCTCGGGAATGTCGGGCGGCCCCCCACTCCCGGTGTGGGTCCCACGTGCAATTTATTATTCACGCGAAAGAAATCACAAAAATTTACAACTTCGTAAATTCATTAATCCTTTAATAAGGTTCAATACATTATTTACATAAAAGTAAATATATTTGGGGACGGTGTTCCGTCACAGGTCTGGGAAGCTGTAACAATGGATTTTATTGTTGGATTACCCGTATCCCAAGGGTATTCGGTTATCATGGTGGTAGTTGACCGGCTTACTAAGTATGCTCACTTTGGTCCTTTGTTAAGCAACTTTACGGCAGTAAAAGCAGCTTCTGTATTCATGGATATCGTAGTCAAACATCATGGGTTTCCAGCATCCATAATTTCTGATCGTGATCCAATTTTTTTGTCAAAATTCTGGGAAACATTATTCACTTTCAGCGGTACCAAACTTAGTCATAGCAGCGCTTATCACCCTCAAACAGACGGTCAAACGGAGGTTGTGAATCGAGAGTTAGAGCAATATTTACGTGCTTTTGTGAGTGATAAACCCACACTCTGGATACGTTATCTTACATGGGCTGAATTTTGTTATAATTCTCATTTTCATAGTAGTATCAAGATGTCACCATTTCAAGCCTTGTATGGTCGTTTACCTCCTACTATTCCACCATATGTCCAGCATAGTACCCGTTTAGAAGCCGTTGATGACATCTTAGTCGAGCGGGATTCTTTACTCCGCACTCTACGCCAGAATCTCCTTTCCACCAAGCAGCGAATGAAACAAAAAGCGGATCGCCATCGCCGAGAGCTTAACTTTGAGATAGGTGATTTAGTGTTGGTTCGTTTGCAACCGTACAGACAGATTTCAGTAGCTCACAGATTGTCCCAGAAACTTTCTAAACGCTATTTTGGGCCATTTGTGGTACTAGAACGCATAGGTGCAGTAGCGTATCGCTTAGATCTTCCTGCTGAAAGTCGTATTCATCCGGTTTTTCACGTTTCTCTTCTTAAGCCTTTCCATGGGGCTCAGACTGATCAGGTTTACCCACTTCCAGCAGCTGCTATAGAAAATAAACCAGTTAGCAGTCCGTTAGCCATTTGTGCACAGCGTACTATTCTTCATAATGGTCACTCGGAAGATCAATTATTGATTCAATGGCAGGATGGTCTCCCTGAAGATGCTACCTGGGAATCCAAAGACTCTTTTTGCAAAACATATCCTGACTTTCACCTTGAGGACAAGGTGGGTTTTCCGGATGGCGGCAATGATACGCCAACGGAGGAAACAATATTGGAGACGAACCGGGAGTCATTACCTTTGAAAAGAGCAACCCGGTCAAGGAGAGCACCTGTTTGGATGGGAGATTACGTTCAATAAAGAGGAGTTTAATTAGATAGTTTATATCATTATTATTATTCATTTAGAATTACTATATTAGTTCAATAAGGTTTCTTTGTATCCTAGTTGCTCTAATCTACTTGTAGTTAGGATGCTATATAAGCCCAATACAGGTAGTTTTGACAATCTCAGGAAGAGTTTAATTAATAATAGCTTTTCATCTTTTAAATCCTTGGTGTTCTATCTGTTTTCTACACACACGGGCGTTTCAGAGACCTAACCCTTGTGGCACTCCCTCGCTACCAGTTGGTTTTAAAAGAGTACTATAATTGAATTTCAATGTTATTCATAAGTACCATATGCGTAATTAATTATGAATTTTGATCAATACAGTGATGCATACTTTCTCACCGCTACTAATAGTACTCCACCCGTCACACAAAATTGTTCTCACTTTTCTTTTTGGGACATCCCAAAATTTTTTCTCATTTTTCTTTTTGGAAAGTTTTGTGTGACTAACATTCATTTACTTTTTTCTTACTCAATCACAATCATATATTTCTGTTTTATTCTCCTTTTGTTAAACTCCGATCCAAGTCAAACTAGAAACCATTTATTCGACACAAATGTTTCAATATTCCTAACTAAAAATACATCTTTCAACCACTTTTTCTTAGCACAATATGACTTTTAGAAATGTTATGAATCTGATTATGAAATAAAAATGAGAGAATTCCCCTAATGGGACTAAAACGTGGAGCAAATGCAAAAGTAGGACTCCTATGTTTAAATTGCAAAACTAGGACTAGAAATTACCTAATTGGACAAAAATACCCTTAATGATTCGATCTCAGTACTTAACTGGCAGACTAGCATCGTCGACAATTACATTGCCGCATACATCTGGTCCGTAGAGAATCCAAAGCAGCGCACAACATAACCTCTTCTTCCTTCTCCTTTTTTCTTCCTCTTTCTTCTTCTTCATCTTCTTCCATTTTCTTCCTCCTCTTCTCTTCTTCTTCTTCCAGATCCCTGTTTCTTCATTTTTCAATTTTTTACTATTGTCAATTCATTTTCTATTTCAGATTATAAATCAAAATACTACTTTGGATATGAAAACTTGAGATAGAAATGACAATTCAACGAACGATCATGATCGGAAATATTTGGATTTGAGTTTTTATTACTTTTTTTATTTTGATTAGATTTGTTTATGAAAATGCTTGTTATTAGAAAAAATGTCACTTTTATGCCATTATATTACATCAAGATGTCAATATTCTAATGACATGTTTTTTGACTAGATTGCCAAATGCTGTCATTTTTAGCGATATTATTTCTAAAAATGTCATGGTGATGGAAGTTTCATATAAAAACATGACATTCTCAGTTGTAAAAAATATGAATTTTTAGATGAAAAACTATGGCAATTTAAGGATGATAGTTCTGACATCATTTGGAAAACATGTCAAAAAACATGTCATTGCTAATAACAAGTAGTTATGTCATTCTCAGATAAGTCATAAAAATGCCACAAAATGTCTTAAGAATGACATTTTCTTATGAACATATGACATTTTCAGGTTGTCATTCTGATAAATATACTGCCACAAACGTGGCAGTTTTTTCAAAGAACCAATAATTTTGACATTCTTAGATTATAAAAGTGACATTTTGCTGAATAAATATAATTCAAATCCAAAAAATTCAAAGAAGAAGAAAACAGAGGACCATATATTTGAAGAGGATTAGAAGAAGAGGAGGAGGAGGAGGAGGAGGAGGAGGAGGAGGAGGAAGGAGGAAGGAGGAAGGAGGAAGGAGGAAGGAGAAAGGAGAAGAAGAGGAAGAGCAGAGGAGGATACCTGTAATTGTTGGAGGAGTCTGCAGCGGCTTTGATTTGGAGAGCTACTATTGATTTTGTCGATGGGAAGCTTTGATCTGGGAGAGCTGCTAGTGATGGCGCCGATGGGAGAAATCACAAGAGCTGGGAGCCTGGGGCGGAAGAAATCGCAAGAACTGGGGGAATGGGGCGGAAGAAATCGCAAACCAGAGCGAGAAGTTGAGTTTAATAAAAGGAAGGGCAAAAGTGTAATCATGAGTCCTATTTAGGAAATAAAAAACTTAAAGTCCTATTTTGGAGTTTAATCCATGTTTTAGTCCTATTTTGGGCAATTTCTTAATAAAAATTTATAGATGCTAATAACTCATAAGTCAATAAGTGCATTATCTCTCTCCCATCTTAATCCTACTATTTCATGTGACACTTTCTTATTTTAACGAGGCATATGTGCCTCAAGTATTATATCTCTATTTCTAAATGCGATTACTTCACATAATAACACTTTATTACTTGGACATTCCATATTTGAATACGAGACATCTATTTTAGAAGTGTCAACATGGCTTAAGGCGGACGGACCTAGCGTGTATCGCTAGGGTTTTTTGGGTCGACGGCAGCGCCTCCGACATACGCCCGGTTTAGTCTTGAACAGTTTTCTGAAGCATTTGACTTGGCCGTGGCCGGTGGGATTAAGCAGGGGACGTAGAACCGAACGCAGGAGGATCTGCATCTATTGGGCTCGCAATTTTGATCTGGAAGTTTTGAACGCAGAGGCAAGCTTGAATGGAACAAGAGCACGGATCTTTGTCGTTTCAACAGAAGGGTCTGTTATTTTGATCCAGAAGATTCTGAACGCATGGGTGAATTCGAACGAGAAGAAGATCCAGGGAGATGTCAGTCGTGAGCTGGAATTGCCTGGGCCTCGGAAATCTAGCGACAGTGCAAATCCTTGTTGATCTAATACAATCCAAGAAACTATGGATCCTTTTTTTATGGAGACAAAATCAAACGACTCTAGGTACCATTTTTCGGTGGACAACCAGGGGTTGAGCGAGGGGGTGTGCTTAATGTGGAGAAGCAGTATAGAGATGGAAATTAAGGGGCAACTATATTGACACTGAAATACAGTTGGAACCCGATGACCAGAAATGGCGATTCACCAGCTATTATGGTTTTCCGGAAAGAGGTAGGAGGAGAGACTCCTGGAATCTTATAAAACATCTTGCTACTTTGTCGGATAAGGCCTGGATCATGCTAGGAGATTTCAACGTGTTTTGGCTGATATTTAAAAGAGAGAATTTGACTTTGCATCCCATGTTTTAGGTGATATTTGAGTTTGCACTCTATTTTCAAAATGATTAATGTATGCACCCCAATCTCCCATAAAACCATTTGACTTTGCACCCTATTCCTTCACAATTTTTGGATTGATGGGTGCATACATTAATTATTTTAAAAATAGGGTGCAAAGTCAAATATCACCTAAAACATGGGGTGCAAAGTCAAATTCTCCCTATTTAAAAGGAGGATAAATACAAAAGAAGGCTATGAAGAAGTCAAGAGACTGCACGTGGAGGAGAAATAGGAGTTTGGTTGCTATTCTTTGGAAGGAAGTCCCTATTCTTTCGCCTAGTGGAGGAATAACGCAGCAGTAGATAAAGTCTAACAACTAATTACCGAATCCGGGGGAGAAGGAGCTTACTACGCCTAATTTGGTGAACTTGCACTTGGAAGTCATGGGTGTGCCAGATATATAAAGCCAGCTAGCTTTACGAAGGGGAGATATGCTCTTACTTTGATACTGAAGACTCCACTCAAAATTTATAGCCCATTAATTAATAGTATTAGAAGAAATCAATAGTTAGCATATTATTTATACAGATTTAATCATATCCTACGCACTATAGAACACCCCATTCATCTGTATTAAAGCTCACTAATCAAACTATTCAAGATCATTATATAATTATTTATTAATCCATATTTCTTTATCAAATACACCATACTAGATTCAATTTTTGCTTGATTCCCATATCATTCATATTCCTAGAATAGTTTATTTCTATTTAAAACAGATACCAGTGGAAGTGGGGGAGAGGAAGAGGTACATCAAACTGGATTGAGGAAAAACTGGATCGAATCCTGGCAAATGAAGAGTGGATGACTATCTATGGGGATTACGAAACATCCTCCCTTGAGGTTCCTTCGAGTGATCATTAAATGTTGTATCTCTGAATGATCAAACGTGGCAATAGGAGAAGAAAGAAATTGTTTAGATTTGAAAATCTGGAAGGCAGTCAAATGATTTTTGGAAGATAATTGCGCCAAAATATACATATAAAACGCAGTTATCTTCAAAAATCATTTGACTACCTTCCCGAATGATTTTTTGCTCAAATTTAGTGGAGATCATCTACACTTCATGAGGAACATCCTCAAAACATTTGAGCAAAAAATATCACCAGGAACCACCTCGTGACGATCCTGTCAGGTATACATGTCAAGAATATTTGTGTGTGTGTTAATATATATATATATAGGAAAATATTTATGTAAGGTAGGTCTAAAAGTTAAATTTTTAGGCCTCTTTCAGTTGAGGGGCTTCCGGGATGAATTTTTTGATGAAATTTTATGAGAATGTTCTCCATAAAGTATATTTTATATCTACCAAATTTCATATTAAAATTTAATCGGGAAGTCACTTAAATAATTTTTTTAAAATTTGGGCCGTTTTTTACACATATAACATGCAGTTTTTTTCAATAATTTAATTAACTGACTTCCCTATTGAACTTTAAGTTGAAATTTGGTGGACACAACATACACTTCATGGAGAATATGCTCACAAAATTTCATCAAAAAATTCGTCTCGGAAGTACTTCAAATGATAGAGGCCTAAAAAACTTGTATGTTTTAGGCTACCTTAGGGGAACACTCCCCTATATATATATATATGTGTATATGTGTGTATATATATATATATATATATATATATATATATATATATATATATATATATATATATATATATATATATATATGCAAAAGGATCTTTTTCGTTTTTAAAAATTTGCTCAATTTTCACAACCTCTTTCATTCTATCAATTAATTGATAATTATAAGTGAAAGTTGGAGTACTTTGAGTATTGTTATCATTACCCGTGATCCAGGACTCAATATCCGCTTTTTTATCAAGAGAAAAATTAATCTTTTTCAAATTTATATATATATATATATATATATATATATATATAGGGATGAGTTCAAATGAGAAGATATCTTAACGTGTATAATCACATTTTTCACGTGTAAATTTCCGTGAAAAATCACATCTTAACGTTAATTTCCACAATTAACTTGTAACGTGGAAATTCCGGACAGGAGCCCTGTCCGGCCAGGAAATTCAAATGAAAAGCATGATAACTATATTATGCTTTTCATAATATAGTTATCATATTCTTTTAAAAAAGCAGGAAAATGTTTTTTTATATATAAGAAGAACTCTAATTAACTTATAAGTAGTATTCCAACGAATAGACAAATCTTTAGGAAAAGTCGCATATTTCTCACCTCTTTCTATCACATACTTTTTTCATTTTATTTGAAGTTGAACACTACCCCAAATACGTCTAATCCCCCCTTGACCACCTCCAAAGAATCTCCTAACGCTTTTAGACCGTCTTGCACACATATATTTATAACATGACATGCACATCGTTGATGAAAAAATCTACCCATCAAAGTAGTAGAACCACATAATTCACGCAATCTAGGTATAGCAGCAGTATTATTAGTAGCATTATCAAAACCAATAGCAAACACCTTTCATTCAAATTATACTCAATTAAAATACGCTCAATCAAAATATAAATATGTTCGGTGGTGTGACGATCATTAAATTCACGAAAAGCAAGAACACGTTTATGCATATTCCAATCATTATCAATATAATGTGCAGTCAGACCCAAATAATGTAATTTTTGATAATTATCCTCCCATATGTGAGAACAAATAGTAACACGCCCATCAAAGTTTGCAAAAAAAAATTGTAACCTTACCTTTTCCGCTTTATAAAGCCTTATAAATTCTTTCTTAACCGTTTTGCGACTATAACCTCTATATTGAGGATTTAAACAATTTTGTGCATAATCTTTCAAAGCAAGACTTTCAGAAAACAAATAAGGCAAATTTTCTTCAACAAGTAAGTTAGCCATACCAGTCAAATTTTGTGTATCATTGTATTGGAAATTACCAAAAGGTTGTTAGTTATTTACAAACCTCGAAATTTGAGTTTGCTTCCCCGTTCCGCCGCCTAATTTTGCATACTCCACCGGGTGTTTGACCTTAAGATGCCTTGAGGCGGATCCGTATCCGCTGGAAATTCCCAAGCTATAATTTTTCTTGCGCCACTTGCAAGTTGCGTTCCAATTCTCGGTGTTCGGGTCCTTCCACTTATCAAAATTATTTTCCATTAGTTCAGATTTACTTTTTTTCTTACCGGTTTAGGGTGAGGCAGGCTCGTCGGCGTCGTGGCTGCCGCCACCCTCCTCCTCGGCCATCTCCTCCACATCGTGGTCCTCGAGCTCTTCTTCGTCAATGGTCGTCGGGTATTGTTCATCTTGGAAAAAGCGGTTATTATGTCGGTCCAATTCTTGTTGTAGTTGCATGTCAGACATCGCATCTCCATCCCTCCTTTGGTAAACCGTATCAATATCATCTCGACTTTGAGATGAAGAGCCGATATGTGATTTACCTTTGCGGGATTTCTTCCTCCCAATCTCGTTCGTTCGGTTGCGCTCGAGGTTACCCATATCAACCGAATATCTACCACGTTCCATCTAAAAAATGTAACAAATATTAAATTGCAACAAATATATTAATAATGAGTACACAAGTAATGCAAGTAATTAAAACTACTTTAAATAATACTTCAATCTAACAAGTTTACATTAATCAAATAAAATTCTAACTATTATTTATTGATAAAAACAATTCGAGTGAAATGTGAAGTACTTTAATTAAAATGTGAATTGAACTAAAATGTGAATATTAATAAAATGTGAGTACAAAATTTATAGCAAAAATTAATTGAGTAATGAATTAACTAGTTTTTTTCCTAGTTATTTGAACTAATCAATACTCCATACTATTGTTTAATAAATACTCAAAACTAACAATTAACTAGTTTTTTGTACTACCTAATTTTTTTTACTAACAATCAAATTATTATAGTTTAACTTTAACTATAATGAGAACTAACTAGTTTTTTAAAGTAGAGTCAAATGTAGCAATTAATAAAAAATTGTAATGAAGTAATTAACTACTTTAATGAAAAATTAAACAATTCGTGTGAATACTAATTAACCAATCAAGTAATGTTAATACAAAATTAAACAAATAAGACAAATGTATGAAAGTGTATACTAATTAATGGGAGTAATAGAATGAAATAAACTAATATTAATTAAAGTGTAACTAATATATATGTAAGTGTGTGTGTGTGTATACACTTAATATATTAATTAGATGTAATAAAACTATAAAAGTAATATATTAGTAAAAATCGTATATATATACTTAATATCTATAATTAGTATACCAATTAATATAGTTCCAATTAATTAGGTATAATTCCAACTATATTAGTAGATGTAATAAATTTATAAGTAATATATAATATAATGTTTATAGTATATACTTCGTAATATATAAGTATACTACTATAAGATGAATAATACACGTATATTTAATACTTTAATATATAAAGTGTATATTAAGTAAATATAAATTGTAATAAAAGTAGATAATTAATATATAAGTAGATAATAAATATAACTAATATAATATATGTATTTATAAGTAGATAATTAATATAAAGTTGATATAATATATGTAAAAGTATTAAATAGTAAAAATGTAAAATATATTGGAGAATAAGAGAATTTGAGAAGATGAAGAAGATGATTAGAGAGTAGAGAGGATTTAGGAAGAGTTGGAGAAGATGTGGAAAAATGTTTAATATTAGGAGTATTTATAGGGTTTTTTTACCACCCTACCAACGGCTATATAGCCATTTGGGAAATCCCAGCCCAGCCTAACGGCTCTTTTGAGCCCAAAAGATTTTTTTTAGAAAAAATGCTACCGTTGGACCCGGGCCCGACCTGGCGGGGCCGGGTCACCTTTTGTAAGAACCGAGCCCGCCCTACAACCCCGGTTCAGGTATCCACTCGAACCGGACCGCCAGACCGTTTCGGTCCCGGGCCCGCACAGTAGCGGCCCGGGCCGGGTCACGGGCCGGGTGGCCCAAACCGAATCCAGCACTAGGAAATAGTAAAATGAGAGGCAATTTCTCCGGCAATAATAAAACCAGAGGCAATTTTTTCGGCAATAGTAAAACAAGAAGTTCACTTGGTGTATCACACTATTAGGATGTTTTAAAAATACGAAAAGACCAGGTATTACCAGACCAAGACCACATCAGACCCGACCATACCAGCAAATTACAGTCCAAATAGTGAGTAGATTGTACCAAGAATAGTAAGCATGAAGACTGTACCAAGTAACCAAGAATAGTGAGTAGATTGCTATAAAATCACAAAATTTTCTGAAAAACGTAACCTTAAGTATATCAAAAGGTGTTTGATATTTAGGATTCTTAGGATGTTATTAATTGTTTTAAAAAAAATTCTGGTCTGGTCTGATTTAATCTGGTTCGGTATGTTTAAGTTTGGTTTGGTCAGAATTGACTGATTGTGTTGAATTATGAAACAATTATTTTTAAAATTAGTTATATTAATAAAATAATGACAAAATATGCAACATCACCTAAAGAAAACTCCAATTTAATATAATTAATCAAATCTGCTACCTTAAACTCAAGACTCCAAATGTTCTCCAGTCATCATAAAATACAAAATTAAATGTACAAAAAAGTTAATATTAATGAAATTTATCTATGCTGCTCTGAAAGCACTTTCCAAAAACACATACTTCTTCCCTCCCATTGAAATATACATTTCGATTTGGCACAAGTTAAAAAAAATGATTGAAATGGTAATTTAAAAATTTTGGATTTTTTTCGCACACAAAAATTAAGCATGTCTTGCAAAGTAGGATGGAAGGAGCTGACTAACAAAACTAGACGGAAAAGAAATATGAGCCACAACTTCGAATTCTGAACAACCCGTTTTACAGTCGCAATATTGTGGTCGCGGTCCGCAGTGCAACCGCATCAAACCGCCTTGGCGGTGAGATTTCGATTCATGAGGAAAACTACTACGTAACCACGAAACAGTAGCATCGGACTGTATCGAGACATCAACACTAATTTAATGTGGTTCTCTTTTGATTTGAACATAAAGTCAATTCACACCACGTCGGCGGTAAGAGCATCACAATAGCCGCAGTGACCGCAACCACATTTTAAAACCTTGATATGAACTAAAGAGTAAATATATAATATATGATGATGCATAATTTAATAGTCATTTAATGGATATAAATTCATAACTGGTTGTGATTTTTGGTAATAAAAATTGAATGTAATCAACTTTGGATCATGTGAATAATTCACAACATGTATTAGTATTTTTCTTTTTAACTTATATCAAATTGATGTGCCCCGGGGCAATGCCCCGGGCTTTACACTAGTATATGTATGTGTGTGTAAATATATATATATATATATATATATATATATATATATATATATATATATATATATATATATATATATATATTTAGGTTCAAGTGAGAAAACTATCTTAGGGGAGAAATGAGAATCAATTCCAACCGTTGGATGAAGCATTCTTTTAAAGTTCTAATTTATTTTCGTAGAGGTCAATAGGGTGATTTCACCCAATATTTAATGTGATCCGTTTCTTTCCAAAATGACCATCCATAATTCTCTCTAATTATTACCATTTTCATGAATTAATTCATGTTTTAAAGTTGTTTAATGGACATCAAAAATTTCAAATTTCCACCCATCATTATTGATATTCTTGTATGACTTTTAGTTTTATTTATTTATTTATTTTTGTTTTGTTTCCTAACTAGATGTGTTTTGCCTTGTTTTGTATGGTTTTTAGATATATTTTTAGACACCATCACCATGGAGCAACTATGGTGCATTTAGAAGCGGGAAACATGCATTTTTATTTTATAAGTGAACCTGGTTTTGTGAGAAAGGTGCCCTATGAGAGATCTAAAAACGTCCATATAAAACCATACATCTACAAATAAAACCCGCTGGATGCGTACTACTATTTCAATCCATGTTCATGTATGTGTGTGCAATGCATCTTTCATGTTTGTATGGTAGTTGTGCACAAATGTATCAGTTTAGTTGCTAAACTACAACTTGAATAAAAAGTGCATGTTAATGTGATAAAAGTGCATGCATGTTAATGAGATAAAAATTGTTATTTATGAAAGTGCATGTTAATGTTACTTGATGCACTTACGCTCATATACATTGCATTTTATCAAATTATTCATGGGCCTGCATTACTAATTCCTGAGAGTGCAATTATATTATGACAAATGTGCATTTCTACACTTAACAAAACAAGTGCATTTCTTGTTGAACAAAAAAAACTATTTTTATTTATGTTTATAAAACCAATAATGTAAGTTCAAAGGGACAATAAGAACATAAAAGTGCATCACGAATTTCGATTAAGTGTATAAAAGTGTTCATTACTATTAATAGTACACATAAAAAATATATATACATTAATATCTTGAAATGAATAAATAATCTATCAAAAGTGCTAACTTCAACTTTATAAAGTGCACATAATACATAAATAATAAGATTACATATATAATATTGGTATATAATTATCGAAGTAATAATAAAAATGCATTATTGCACTTTGAATATTTACCACGTGCACATTCATGTTGATTGTTACACATATTTTAAATTATACAAAGTACATAAAATCCAATCATCTTCGTGTGCATAAAATATTCTCATTAAATAAAATAAATGAAAGTTTTGCACATGCACTTTAATAACGATGCATTGCACCTTTTGTCTATTATTAACACTATTCTAATATTTAAATTAATGCACGTTCACTTTTTTCCAAATTTGAACCAATATCTATACGGAAACAACCCACGATTTATATAATGTGTTGCATGTGTGTCAAATCACCATTATGTTGTATTACTATTGAGCCCCACGTATTTATTAAAATGAATCATTTCCATTTAAAACTCCTCCACTTTACCGAAACTAGTGGACGGCAGTTTTAACTCAATTGGAATCATAGCCATCCGATTAAATATATGAATGGTGAGATGTTATTCTTTTTTCTCTCTTGGGACTCCTTTCTCCTGGGAATCATAGTAAATTTCATTCAAGCATTAATACGTATGCAGCACTATAATAGGAATTCATCCTAAAAAGTAGGCTAATAATTAATAGGGAGTAACGTACCTCCCTCTTATATATTCTATTATTTTAATTTCCTTTCCAAAATAAATTTAGTATTATCTCACATATAATTCGGATGAGTAATTTGATATAAAAAAATTATTCAAATTGTGCATTTTTCACGTCTAATTGTCTTTTCAGAGGCAATATTTCATGCACTTAATTTTGTGTATTTGCACTTAAATATTGAATACTTGCACTTTTATTTGAAGCATATTTCAACATCAATTTAATTAGATATTTAGATATTTTTGCAACCTACAGGGAAATACGAGTTTATTAGGTTAATTTGGAGTATTGTAAACTGCACTTTAATGTTATTATTTTGCACTTTAAGAACATTCAGTTCGACACATCCATACATTTCTGCAAAAAAAACTAATATAAATATACAATAAACTATCAACTACGTGCATTTAGAATAAGACAAATGTGCACTATTACATCATACTTTCTAAACTTATACACTGACGCTCTTTTACAACATAAAATGCACTTTTTATCATGTGCACTAAGTACACAAAAAAGTGCATTAGTATATCACACTTTTCCGAAAGTTTACATTGACGCTTATACAAAATGAAATGCACTTTTCTTTTGAAATAATAAAAATAATCGAAATCATAAAAAAATGGAAATATATAAACGTGGGTGTAAAAACTATAATGATATACTATCATGTTCATTTAAGTATATATAAAAGTGCATTACTATATCACACTTTTTAAATCTTTACATGACACTTTTACCCAAAATGAATGCACTTTAAACATGTGCATTTAAATATTTATAAAACTGCATTATTCTCACACACTTTCTAAAAAAATATACATAGACATGTGGTGCAGTTATGATACTTAAAAGGTGCAATATATATAGTTGTGTTAGTGCAATTTTTAATAATATCTAGAGGATAAATAATATATGAAAATGCATTTAAACATAAAAAAGAAGACATATTTAATCATAAGGTGATGAAATGACCAAGCATTTTAACAAAATATGAAAAGGAATGTCTTCTCCGTAACACACATCTTGAGAATAATGAAGGGATTATGAAGGTAAGAAAGAATTTTTTTGATCATATGAAGGTAAGAAAGAATTAAATGAGATAAAAGAATTTATTTTGACTGAATAAAACTAATTTGATAAAAAAATATGAGAACCGTAAAGCAAATTAAAAGAAATTGGATGATTCATGATTAGCTATGCAAGATTATAGGGAGATAGTTAAGGAAATATTTGCAAGATTGTAGGGAAGTAATCAACCGTGTAGTTTTTAATGTGGTGCCAAATTCTCTTATATACCCTTAATGAAATATTAAAGAGTTTCAAGATCCAATGGCTCACATCTATTCTTTTTTACTCTCCTAAGATTAAGTTCTCACATGAACCTAAATCTATATATATATATATATATATATATATATATATATATATATATATATATAGGAAACTTCATGTCAGGCCGGCCTGACGGGCTGCCCCGTCCGGCCGAGCCCGTTTGGGCACCTTCCCGGTGGAATTTTTTGATGAAATTTTTTGAGCATGTTCCTCATCAAGTCTAGTTTGTCCATACCAAATTTCAGCTCAAAATTCGATCGGGAAGGTCGTCAAATGATTTTTGCAAGTTAACTGGTCCTGAATATGTATTTTCCGGACCAGTTAACTTGAAAAAATCATTTGACGACCTTCCCGATCGAATTTTGAGCTGAAATTTGGTATGGAGAAACTAGACTTGATGAGGAACATGCTCAAAAAATTTCATCGAAAAATTCCACCGGGAAGGTGCCCGAACGGGCTCGGCCGGACGGGGCAGCCCGTCAGGCCGGCCTGATGAGAAGAGCCCTCTATATATATATATATATATATATATATATATATATATATATATATATATATATATATATATATAAAGAAAAAGTGTGGCCAATTGACCAAGGGGCATACATAAATAGTCCGTATAATATTTCAAAGGTATTTTGGTACTTCAATAAAATATTACATTAAAAATCACATTTTTATCAAACACTCACTTTTAACTTTTCCACTTTAATCACTTCTATTCTAAAGCACTATAAACTTTTTCTATTGAGCACTTTTTCCATAATCACTATAAAAAAATTAATTTTCTGAAGTAGAAGCTCTTGCAAACACTACCTTAATATGGTTCCCTCGGACAATCCGTTAACTTACTAAAAGTACAAAACTCAATCTGAATCTAATACATGAACAAGAGTTAATTACATCTACCTCGCTTGGGATTTGGACAAATTATCAAATAACCCATGAGGTTTCTGGAGATTACAAACACATCCCTAGACCAGACAAATATTCTATAAATAACACTGATTTTCCATAATGTAATTTGCGAAAAAATTGGCTGCTGAAAGGGTCTGTAATGTATATAAATTTGAAGGAAAATTTTATAATTTGTTGTTGTCGTCGTCAGGGGAATTAAATGTAATTACCCTTGGATATACATATACAACATGCTACGTATTACGGAGTATGTAACAAGAATTACATCAAATTACAATTGCAGCAAATAAAGCATTTGTAACAAGAATTACATCAAATTACAATTGCAGCAAATAAAGCATTTTTTAACCTGTTATCGGCAATGCCAGCTTATGATATTGACCATATAGAAAGCCCATTTTGCTTTTTCCAACACCCATTTCTTCCGTGAGAAAGCCCTACATAATAAATAAGAAACAAATAACCAGGGCAACATTCCGTAAAAACTCATTCAAAATTCTTGAAAAGGATAAGGAGTCTTTAATTCATTCATAAAGCTCTGACAAAACTGCATGATCTGCAGGTCAACATATTGAAGACAAAAAAATGCACGAGCTTGTAAAAATCTTGTGGCTAGCAAATAATAATGTGCTCGAAAATGGACCTCATTCTCACTTATAGTACCTTTTAGGTCAAAATCACTTCCACCTGAAGATCCACCTAGTGTATAAGGAGATGAGGCATTCTTCAAAGTCTAAAACACAAAGAGGACACCACAAACTGAAGCGCTGCAACCAACGACGACGCTGCCGCAAAACAAGCTCCTAAAACAATGACACCCTCTACATCGATTTTAACCAGTCCTGTCTTACCATAAGAGCCATGATACGAACTGCACATATAGAAATGGAACCACACCGACTAATTCTCTCCTCATATGTCATAACCAGAACCATTCCCATACATCCCTCCAACCCGATCCCGATTCCACCCCGAGGGATGGTTCAGGTTCACAGGTACATAATTGGCTGAGGATGTTTTTACTTGGACTATGATTTGCTGGTCTGGTCTGGACTGGTAATGTCTGGTCTCTTTGTATTTTAATAACTATCCAAGTCTGGTCTGTTATGGTCTGAACTGGTCTGGGACGAATTACAGTCCAAGTAAAAACATCCTGATTCCTAAACCGGATCCATGGCTAGCTCTTGGTAATCAAACAAGCATGAAATGAGGAACAAACATTAATGTATTCTTTCATACGTAGTACAACATTTACTGCTTGTCTGATAAAAGCTTGTTATATCCTTAATTCCTAATAATAGAAAAATGCGATTTGATTGAAAGTACATGTAAAACAAAAAAACGCTGACTCACCAGGCTCAACCATGGCCATCTCTAGAAGATCGCTAGATACATATTTTACACATGCAATAATACCAAATTAGATTTACAAGATAATAAATTTGCAAATTTTTCTACTATAGTAGATGAATCCACTAGTGTGCTAAAACACTAGACTGACGCCACTCAAATTACTACCGCCACTGCTGTTGTCACCCGTATCGGCACTTCCGTCACCACTACTAAAACATTAACCCTAAATATATTAAAAGCTAAACCCTAAGAAGGACTAACTTAACCCTGAAAGGACTAACATGCCAAAAAGTATCCGAATAGTTCATAAATAAATTAGAAAAAATTGTATTTAATTTTAAAAAAGTAAAGCAGGTAGACTCAATTTTAAAAAATTGTATTTAATTTTATAAATAGGCATCGAGCAGTACTAAGATGACATTTCCCAATATAATAACGATAATTAGTAAGTAATATTAATAGAGAAAAAAATGTTTACATCATGTAGCTTAATGTCTAGCGTGATATGTAAAACCTGTTTGGGAAATGTACACAACTTGTCCAATAAAACAACCGAAATTTACACGAGGAGGAACTAGGGGACAATCTGTTATTCATTGCTACCATTTGAGGCAACGAAGTCATTGATCATCTGTTTTAAATGCTGCACACCAAGATAATATTTAATCAGAAACGAGGGTAAAATTCTTTTAAATGAAAGTAATACATTTAAAAAATGAGGAACCGAAGTTGGAAGTTTTAGAGATGACCTTCAGTTCTTCATGAAGCACAATGAATATTTTCTTTAGTCGTTTATGCGTCTGTAGCAATACATAATATGTAAGAATTGACATATATCATTCTATGCACGTGCATACAAAGCCGTTTGTTCATTTTAAAATTTTAATTATTAAAGTATCAACTGAAAAGATTGTGAAACAAACAGCAGCACATCGAACAAGGAAAACAAACGTGATTTCTTCCTACAGTGATTGGTCTGATTAAATGTCTGGCTGCAGTGAGAGCATGATGCAAAATGAATCTCACACCAACCCCTCCACAATTACACATAAAAAACTTACAGGTGCATGTTGGCAATATGAATCCTTCAAGCGTGCCAAAATTTCATAGTATTTCTCCATGTCTTTTCCTTTCCAGGCGTTTAGGTCCTTACCAATTTCACAAAACTCAAACCTAAAGCAATACGGGTACCACAAAAAAACGCAGTGCATTTAACGATTTGCAGGGAAAATAAGTCCAGAAATGTGAGACTACAAATGTGAATTTGAAGATACCAATAGGACTTCAAGTTTTTACTCAACGAGCAATACTTGTCATACTTCTCATGATACTCCTCAACATATTCTTTATACCTGATATGTAAGAGCAAAGAATAAGAAAAATGAAACTTTCAAAAAAATATATGGTACTCAGTACTGCAAATGATAGACTCCATTTATTATTTATCTGTCTAAGTTTACCATATCATACTTTTTTTCAAAAACTCATTAAAAGCCACCTTCCCATTTATGTTCCTATTGGGATGAAAAGGTGAACTGAATACTGAATAGTGTAAGGGTTAATTCGGAGGAATACAATAACATAGTATATGAACATACAAAAATCCTAAATAAGAGTAAAACAATTTGAAATTCGAAAATATGAGTTTTATTTTCCACGCTAAATAGGAGTACTATTTTCCATACTGAATAGGAGTACTTCTGTTGTGATTGGAAAATACTGTCAATAATGACATTATTATTGTCATATGAATGCCTGGTATGCCAAAATATGAGATTATGATTTCAGCATGCAAGTAATTTAGTCCTGTTTCAGGAAAAACGTAGCACTCCTATTTTCGGATTTTACATTGTTTTTACTCCTCCCATGAACATATAAAAGAAATTAGAAAATTTGTCAATACAGACAAATAAATAGGAATGCAAGGAATTTAGGTGAGAGTCGAGAACAAAGATACTCTTGTCATAAAATTAGTTTCTGAAGTGCATTTAGCATGCTTATTAAGAAAATGGAATTGTATGGTTGAGGTTAATTTAGAAACAATAGAAAAATAATAAACCATGTAACTCTTTTCTTAAAAAGAAACGAGAATATGATTTGGCAATGTGGGACAGATGGGAAGGCAAGTGTTTTCTTAAAAGGGTAGATGAAGTATCATAGTCAAAAGATATTGAGGAACTATTCCTTATAAAGTAGGTCACATGTAATTTTCAGTCAAGATTCAGGGCATGGATTTGGAAAAGGTAAATAAATAACGTACTCGATGAAACACTTTATTGGTACCCTCAACTCAGGCTCCTTCTTTTCATACTTTAAGTATGAAGAGCTGATCTCATCAGCAGAAGAATTTCTTTTCTCCTGGAAAGCAATATTACTTCTGTCACCGTGGGCTGCACCAGTACAGACTTTTCCATTATTACTTTCTCCATTGAAGATGACTAGGCTCCCTCCTTTCATATTATATCGCTCTTCGCCATTCACTTCAACAGCTTTATTACTATGGTATTCCACTACACTGTGATCAACTGCAGAACATTGCTGATAAAAAGGTGGTGAATCAACATGTGTTTGGTACTTGTCCTGAACAACGTCCTTGGCAAAAAGTGGGTCCATACTAAAAGAAACCTGTTTTTTATGCATGTTTCCAGTTTTTCTGCTCTTAGTAGCGGCAGGTTTATCGTCCTGCTTTCCGTTAACAACTCCTTCAGTAACAAGCTGATTCTCTATAAGACGTGAATCAGTATTAACATCAGTCATTTCCACATCTGGTAAGTCTTTCTCGATCTCCAAGATGTCTGAAACACGCGTATATTCTTTTTCACCGATCCGGAATTGGGAGGGTTTGGCATCTTGAGATGTCAATGAAATGGGAAATTTCAGTAACCCATTTTCAGAAACTTTCTGTCCCCCCCTGTCACTATCACTTCCCATGATATCTAAATCGCCATTTGATGACTTACTGTTAGAGGACAGGTCACTTTCACATTCCACAGGGCTTCTACTTCTGCTTTTGTCACTTGCACTTTCACTGTCACTAGAGACACCTGTTGGATCTTCAATCTGGTCAGAAGCTTTTTGCTCAACAAAGCAGTCAGGTGATGGTCTAACCCAAGAGGTTGGTGCGCCTTCAAGTTTAGAACTCAACTGTAACTTCCCTTCCGATGCTTTAGTATCAGTCCTTATTGACAAACTAGTTTCTTGAACAAGAATTTCATGCATATTATGGGTAGATGGTGCGTTATCTTTATTCTCTGGAGAACTACAAAATAACAGTAGACCATTACAAATGCTGAATATTGCATCTGACAAATAGCAGCAAGCCAGCAATGCTACAACATGGTCACAAATCAACTGGCATTGAACTTTAGCAGTAAGAGAAACTCTGATAGTACATTAAGACTACCAAAGAGGTATTATAAGGGTATGTTTGGATGGAGGGTTTTGGAGAGAAAGGCTTTGGCAGGGTTAGTCTATATCTTAATAAACATTCTACTCCCTTCGTCTCTATTTAATCATCTTACATTAACTTTGCACAGAGTTTTAAGAAAATGAATTGTGTGGTTGAGATTTAATTAGAGAGTTAAAAGGAAAGAATCAATTTCAAACATACAGTTCTTTCCTTAAAGAAAACATGATGATTGTTTATTGATTCGGATAGAGCAAAAAAAGGAGCGAGATGAAAAGGGGACAAAGCAATTGATAACCTTCCCTCCTACCCCCTCCCCCCCCCCCCCCAAAAAAAAAAAAAAAAAAAAAAAAACTCCATCCAAAAGAGCTCCTCAAGTTATAAGGCGAAGTGCCAACATGACTTCATAAAATTAAAACCAATTATGGGAAAGCATAGGAAAAATGTTAATCTAATGAACTCATGTAGATTCACGAAATGGTAGCTACTACTCAGTATAACTTCAGACAAATCCCAGTATATCTGAGTATCTGGCAGAGAAAGAATGTAGGATTTGGTTTACTGGAGAGGTCCAAGCAAATGACAGATCCCCTTTATGATTCAAACACCCTTGATTACCCAACAGTGTTTTGCGAGGTCAAGTACCCTAGTAACCGAACTTTCAAGGAAAATAACATATTGCCATGGAGCTTGAGTTCCCAAAGAACTGTGATTTTTATTTAATAGGAAACATAACAAATTAATAATCCACAGTTAAGGCTTTGATTCCTGTAATGTGCTTGAACTTGCATTCGCAGAAAATGGCACAAAATTGAGTGTCGCAAAAAGCCTGAACAAATTAGTATTACCTTCCACTTCCAGCTGTATATTTCTTGAGAGCTTCTCTCTCCATTCCCGGTTTAAGAAAATATCTCCCTGGAGCCCGAAAGATTGCAACCTAATGTGCGCATTACATGAGACAAGAAAACCACTGTTCTTTTTAACTTGCGCATATTATTCAAGTGATAACCTTTTACACTTACCCTTTTGAGCAAGGTCTCGATTTCCCTTGTTGAATTTGGAAAGGCCTCTTGAACAGATTTATCCAATGCCTAACAATTCAGAAGAACTCATTTACTGATGTGATTCATTTACAGAGTTTAATGAACTATGATATGATATATGAACACACTCGACAACTCTATCCAGTGAAATAACACCATCGACAAACAGAATTTTAAAATCAGTGGATTCAACTCTCACAAAGATTAAGCGAAACTTACAGTCTTTCAATTATGTTATTCACATACCTTGAGGGTCATTCCATTTGATTGATTGTCCATGAGTAAAGTTAACAACATGCACCGCAGATCAGAAACTTTGGAACTTGTGCTATTCTTGGGTCCAGATGAAGTTGAAGGTCCATTTGATGGAGTAACTGTAGACAGATCAGATAGGTTAGAAGCTTTAGGCTGGCTTCTTGATGTGCATCCGTAGTTGGAACAAGAACAAGAATTGCAAGAGACATCAAGACTTTGGGATCGATTCTTAAATAAATCAATTCATGTAAAACTTAACATATGTTGGGTGAATACGTAAAGAAACAAGTCCATTAAGACACTATAAGAACTTAATTTCAACTACCTGAAAGTGGCTCCACTTTTCTCTTTCTCTGAGGTGGTTGCTTGAAAGCCATTTTACATGGAGTACCTGAAAGATATAGTTCTGTTTGGATTCCGGAAAATACAAGGGAAATACTGGAAATTTTGAAGGAAAAAAATCTTGAGGGAAAAAAATATACTCAAAACTTAATAAATTATTTCAGATTTTTGCTTGAACTCATTATTACTATCTGTTTCTATGGTATAGAATAAGAAATCTATATATTGGGGGGGGGGGGGTGCACAACGAGCCCCCACTAAGCAAGGGTCAGTGGAAAGGTCCCATCACACATGTGTACCGTAGAACCTTAGAACCTTACTATGCATTTTCGCAAGAGGCAACTTATTACAACCTGTGACTTCAAGGTCACACAGCAACACCTCACCAGTGCGACAAAGCTCTTGTTTTCTAAGGAATCCCAATATGTGTCAAAAAAATTGAGAATATTTAAATTTCCATTGTATTTTTTCAAGGTAATAACCAAGCACAATAAAGTACTCCCTCCATTCCAATTTGATTTGCAAAATTTTCTGTTTTGGTTATCCCAAAATTATTTTCCACTTCCTATTTAGGCATGTAAATATGTATAGTGACAAACTTACCCTTACTTTTACATTTTTCATCAACTTAAAGGCATCGACTTTATGGAAAATGGGCAAAATAGTAAAACCAATCTACATTTATTGCCATTCTTTGATTATTGTGCCACTCAAATTCTGTAAAACAAATTGGGAAGGGACGGAGGAAGTTACATTATTTGGCAACTTTTTCTGTTCCCTAGTATTCTCTGACATCCAACCATACTTTATGTGAGTTTCACTTCAGTGCAAATGTAAACTGTCAAGGTAAGAAAAACTCGTATCTTTCGAAATGTCACACATTTGACCTCGGCCAGTTACAAACATATAAATTTTCAAAGATACTGGAGAGAAAGGTTTACCTTCTTCAGCAGCTGCAGCCTTCATTTCACTCTTTGTAGATGTATTTCGAGAATCTAAAACAATGGTTCTGTTCCCAAATGCCAGAGGGTGTATATATTATATGGATATATGATTAGCGAAAAATAAACAATGTAGATTACAAATCTTATTATAAAATAAAAAACTGATAGTTAAGTATTCAATTAAACACAACAGCTATGGTGAAAAAAGAAATACATACTTGCGTGATTTGGACTTGCGTTCGGCTTCCTCAGATCGCATTTTAACATGGTTTTTAGTTGATTCATCCAAAACACGCTGTACATTTACCTTTCTCCAAGCACTACCCGATTCTACTAGCAATCCAATTCCATCCTCTTCACTTTGGCGTTCTTCATAAATATCACAGAGGTCTCCGCTGTCTCGTGACCATGTGAATCTGAAGTCTTTACCACCAACACTTATAACCTGATTAAAAAATCAATTAAAGATAAGAACAGCTGACAATAAGCATGTTGGATCTCTAAACAACTAACATCTAAACAATTACAAATACTGTCTACAACTGTCACGGAGACTACTCAACTCAAACATTTTTCCTTCCAACCTCTCGGATCAAGTTTACATTATAAGAACTTTTCCAAGTTCAGTCCATTCTTCAACATGGAAATAGATAAATAAAGAAGTCATATAAGATCCAAAGTAATTAGCAGATCAATCTCTATGGTGCTCGGGAAAATTGCTCCTAAACCGTTTTGAAGTCTCAAAGCATACACTTTTTTTCTATGTGATCCAAGGGTAAATGTTTTCTAAGAGATAGTAATTTTTGCAAAAAGGAAAGAATATGGGAGTGTGATAAATTTAAATTTCTCACCCAGACAGAACAAGCTAGCAATTCTTCTTGTTTCTTAATTCTTAGGATGTTTTTACTTTGACTGAAATTTGTTGGTCTGTCTGGTAAATGTCTCTACTTTATAACTACGGAAGTCTAGTCTGTTTAGGTCTTGTTTAAGTCTGGTCTGAGACTGAAAACAGTCCTAGTAAATACATCCTTTTTCTTTAGTCATTTGACCACCAGAACTCCTCAATCACCTACATCCAAATATACTACCGGTATGACTTCACTACAGCTTAATACATTTGAAAGGAAGTAAATCCCTGACTTCTTCATAATGCAGTAAACAGGCCTAAAATAATAACACTGGCATCGAAATATAAAAAAGGCGGTAAATTGAGAAATACAGCGATGAAAACTGACATTTCCAGCTGAGTTATTTGCTTTTGAGCCAAACTTGATCTGCGTTGTAGCGCCATGAGCCTCCGCCCGCTTGATCTCATCCACTAGGTCTGGCGACAATCGAATTATTGTCGCGAAGTGCAGAGAGTTCCCGTTAACAAGGTTAAAAGTCTCATCTGCCACACTGGAAGGTGCTGGAGCCGTGGAAGCAGCGGCGGTACTGCGGTTTCGGAGGTCAGTTACCCCAGTGCCGAGTAAGCGTCCGCCTAGGGCAGCTGAAGACCTGCGAATAGTCGGCTGTTGGAAGTTGGATTTGATTTGGCGCTTGCTAACGCCTCCGTCTTGGCTACCGCCACTACATCGGGCGCGCTTTTTGGAGCCTCCGCCGCCGCGTGTGCGCTTTCTGGAGCCTCCTGGCATCATACTCGGATTTCAACCTCCAAGCGCAGAGGCTGCTGACGGCTGAGTAGAGCAAAATAGCAATATCATATTCCTCCCTCCATGGTCAAATTGACTTTTTTGATTAATCACAATCAACTTTAATTACTTATATTTTTTAAATAAAAAAAAATAAAATATTAAAATTATACAAAAATTTTCTTAATTCAAAATATTTTCATAAAAGTATAAAAATTATAAAATATATGAGTATATATATATACTCCGTAATAATTAAAATCATCGTCCAAAATTTACTATCATTGAACAAATGACGAACCTTTTCGGAACGAGGGTAGCAATATATTCTTCACCACGTTAATATTTTTTAAATTAAATTTAATATTTAAAAAATTAATATAACTATTAAATACAATGAAAATTGCTATGTTAGCAAGCGCCAAATCAAATCCAAAACTATGAAATGGTACTCTAACTTCTTCCATATAAATGTGTATTTTTTTGGTTTTTTGTAGTAAAAGTTTATAAGTGCAGAGTCTATAATTCTATATGTATTTAGTCTTAATTGATTTTATTCCTAACAAAGGTTTAATCTCAATCAATAAATATGTATGGTTCCCATTTCCTATAAAATTGGATATGTTGCTGCTTAGGTGTTCGGTGTTCCTAACTATGTTCTCTTTTTTTATACATTGCCAATTTCAACCCTAATCTACTTTGTTTCTATTTTTTGTAGATTTTTCCTTGAGTTCTTTACACCTTTGACAATGTAACTTTGAATTTTTCGAAAGCATTCTATATCTATTTGTGTTTACACTTCACATGATATCTTCTATTAATAAATTCTGAGTAAACATAAGAGTAAAACATAATTAGGAGTCTTATTTTATCATGTTCTATTAATTATGAGTAGCAATATTTTATTTCAAAAAAATACCTTTTGATACACCGGTTTGCATGCACCACCCAATTACAAACTGGAAGAATTTTGATTGCCTACACTGTTTACCGTCTGCACCAATGTATATTAGTCGACCTCCCAACCACGGGTTGATTAAGATTTGCAAAGGGTGAAAACGGGTCAGTAACTTTGTATTTCGATTGAGTTTTCAGAATAATATTGTATCTGGCCAGTTTCTCTTTATTGGTATGTTAATGTATTTATACTTATGAAGTTATAGTACATTTTACATTGATTTACCCACTTTGCTCCTCTTTGTTTTAAAAATTGTTACTTATGGTCTTTACTTTATAATTTATACCAAGGTACATTTGATTTTTATCTAAAGTTCAAATAAAAAATATCCTGTTCATAAATACATTGATGAACAGAGCAATTTGTATTTGATTTTTCTTTGAACGTGACAAAGCAAATAGGATTGTTTCCTTTCAACATTTCGTATAGTACTTCATTATTAGTTGTTTTCCACACAACTATTTTTAAAATATGATACTAATTTATTGAAAGTTATAATGATATTGTATGGATTTATTCATGTTGTGTAGGCGCCATTATTTCGTAGGCGCCATTAACAAATTAAAATGTCTTAATATATTGAGTTTTCTTTAAGCTAATTTAGTTATACTTTCTAAACATATATCTGAGAACCTGAAAGCCTGACATGAGTTCTATGCATAGTCCCAAAGATTACAAATTTGCTCTAGACATTGTAAGAAAGTTGTTTTTATTTTGACGTTTCTTTTGCTCTATTGTCTTTGATATTCAGATTAGTTCACCAGGATTGCTGGGAGCCATTTTACAAAGCACAAGCTTTCCCTCTAGGGTGTTATATAATTACATTCAAGTGATATGCTTTATGGTTTAACATACATGCATCCAATTGGTAGGTTTGAAAATACTATGTTTGGATAAAGTCTTCTTGGTTGTCTTTGTTACAAAATGTGCAGATTTTAGCCTATTGAGACTCAAATCTCAGGTTACTATGAGTCTGGAGTCTCTGGACAATGACATAATGCATAAAATGAAACTTAAGATAGCTTATTTTATAGGTTACATTTTACCTCTAATATCCTAGCTTTGGCATTTATTTAAACTCAAAACTTGAAGTCCTGAACTTACATTGAGACTTACATTGATTTGTTTATGCTAGAGTTCAGATTCTCTCTCATTTAACTCTTTTCCTTAAAAGTATCACGATCCCAAAATTTTATTGGAAAATTGGCCATACTACGTAAGGTTTTGAGAGTTCCACCTTCAATATTTAAGTATTTAGTTTCACCTTATACTTAGTCCGTAAACTTCATAATGAAGCTTCAAAATCTCTTTGTGAAAACGAATTTGAAAACCATGAGCATAAAAGTTTTGTACTTATAGAACTTTTGGTACTTGAGTTGCAAAGTCTCTAATTGTTAAGATGGTACCCTTAACAATTGGTATGACGGTAATTTGAGCCAAAGGATGTCTTTAAGTACCTATCCTTCATGCATGCTCATTTAAGTGTTTGTCGAGTTGAAAGAAACTGTGGTCAGCTGAAGTTTTAAGATGTATCCACCAAGTGTCTCAACTTTCATTTTATAAATTGTGATGTCTATTATGTATATATTTATAGATGTATTGGTATTCCTATTTTAGGATTGAGTGGAAATTTTCTCTCTCTCATATGTAGTCTCATATGTAGTGCCTTTAGGTATTAGAAAATTAATTTGCTAACAATTGAGTGGGAAAAGTTTTCTTCTCATATGTAGTTCTTTTAAGTACGGAGATTGGTATCAGAGCCTTAGTCCGTAAACTTCATAATGAAGCTTCAAAATCTCTTTGTGAAAACGAATTTGAAAACCATGAGCATAAAAGTTTTGTACTTATAGAACTTTTGGTACTTGAGTTGCAAAGTCTCTAATTGTTAAGATGGTACCCTTAACAATTGGTATGACGGTAATTTGAGCCAAAGGATGTCTTTAAGTACCTATCCGTCATTTGACATTGATACGAGTCTAATGACTCATTCTAATTCCTTTCAGAAATGGAGCCAGTTGGAAGGATCACTAGGAGGAACCCGACGGGCCGTGTGCCGGGTGGGTCCGAGCGCGGTAGCCGGGGGTCCTCTAGGGGATCAAGAGGAAGAGGCCGCGGAGGCCGACAACAACACACCGTGAGCGATGGCCATGTCGATACGGAAAGCGAGACCTATTGGTCTTTTGAGGACTCGACCTACCGGCCGGAAACTGAGCCGGTTGAGACCCCTTATGAAGGGGATGACGACGATGTTAGTGACGAGGAGGAAAATGGCTCCTTGGTTAGGATTGAAGCACTGCTCCAACAATATCATCGGGAGCGTGAGGAAAGGAGAGAACGCCGAAGGCGCCGCACAGGGCCACCTTCGGGCGGGGCTCCAAGAGGGAGGAGCTACTGTGATTCGAGAACCCATGTAGAAGCGCATGGGAGCCGAGGTGATGGAGGTCCAACCATAAGGATCTCCAAATACATCAAGGAGGCGAGGGACTTGGGGTGCAAACCGTTCGATGGAACGGGAGACATCTCGGTGGCCGCGCAGTGGATCAAGAGGCTGAACGAGGCAGCCCTTGACATGGAACTCACCCCCGATTTTAAACTGAGAATCGCGGTGAGGTTACTTGAAGGGTTGGCATCCAAGTGGTGGGATGGAACCAAGGGCAAGTATGGCGGGAATGTTACTTGGGAGGATTTTCGGCAAGAATTCTTTGCCCAATACTACTCTGACTTTGAGGTAAACGCCAAGGTGAGAGAATACACTCTTCTAACCCAAGGGGGTAACATGACGGTGAAAGAACTTGAGAACAAGTTCAGGGACCTTGCTGACCATATACTGGAGTATGCTTGTGATGAGAACCGTATGGTAAATCACTTTTGGGAGGCCTTGGACCTGGAGGTACGTGATATGGCGACTCAATTACCCAACATGACTTTCAGCCAAGTGGTTGCCCAAGGGTTGAAAGGAGAGAAGCAATGGGAGGAGAGAAAGAAGAGAGACGCCGAGGAGGCGAAGAAGAGGAAGTGGGAGAACCATGGCCCCCAAGGTTCTAACAAAAAGGGGAACCATGGGGGAGGGGGATCGTTCAGAGCACCGGCACCGCCATCCAAGGGAAACCCGGCCTTCGGCGGGCACGACTCGGGCTCACAAGCCTCAACGGCGCCCAGGTGCAGAAACTGCAACAGGAGCCACGCCGATAAGTGTCGTGATCCACCACGGTGCTACCAATGCGGAAGTACAGGGCATATTAAGCCAAATTGCCCTCAACTTGGTGGGAACCGAGGGGCGGGATCAAGCGGCGCTACTACGGCGAGTAGGAACCGAACCGGAGCACCTCATGCTAGCGCGGGCCAAGGGGGAGCAAGCACGAGCAATGCGCCGTCCGTGAACCAAGGGAGGACCCAAGCAAGGGTCTACGCAATGACGGAGGCAGATGCCCGAGCTAACTCAGATTCGGTTGCAGGTACGACCGCTTAACTTCCCGTGTTTTACTCATTCCTCATCAATAAATTGAAGTTATAGATCCTAGGATCCAAGTGGGATCAGACGTAGAATCGAATTGGGAAAAGGGGGGGGGGGGGCAAAACCATGCTACTACCCGACCGGGTGTAGCAAGAAACCCGGATGGGTAGGCCAAGTTTTTGCCCTCGTAAGTCCACTGGAACACGTACCCGACCGGGTACGGTGATATACCCGACCGGGTTTGACAAAAATTTCTGCCCGACACCCACTGGAACACATGCCCGACCGGGTATGGTGATATACCCGACCGGGTTTGACAAAAATTTCTGCCCGACACCCACTGGAACACATACCCGACCGGGTATGGTGATATACCCGACCGGGTTTGACAAAAATTTCTGCCCGACACCCACTGGAACACATACCCGACCGGGTATGGTGGTATACCTGACCGGGTACACCTCGAGGTGTTCGTCAAATGAAAAAGTTGTCTTCATGAAAGTTGTAGATATTTTCATTGTCTAAATGATGGAATTTGAATCGAATTATTTGGTTAAGTATGTAAGGAGATATGATCAAAACGGTGAGACAGTGCCGATTTATATCTCAACTGCGAACGTCATCCATAATGG